TAACGATCGTTCAATTTTCGATATTTCCAAAGAAAATTACAGAAATTCTCTTTTTCTTTTTTTCGATCTTTGTATTTTTCGTCGATTTTAACCGATTTATTAGCTTGCAAAGAAAAAAGAAAAAAAGAAAAAATGTTTCCTTTTATAGCAATACAAGAAAATCACGAGAGATTCAATAGTCATTGGAAAATTTGATTAAACACGTTATTTTCTTTTTTTTCCTTATTATCCATCTCTTGGCATAGACTGCATAGTCAATGTGCATCGGTATGCGGTTCAATTTTCATTCGGTATGCATTCCAAGTTAGATGCGCATAGAAGAAACTCATTGTCGTACTAACATAATTCACATTCATTTTACAATTTACGCATAGCAATATCTCCCTCCGTTTTATTAAGACATATATGTATCGTGATTATTGCGTTTTCAATTATTCATCCTCCATTCGTTTTTTTTTTTTTTCAATTCTACGATAATGTCAAGCAAGTTTGTTAGTCTACAAGAGAGAGAAAGAGAGAGACTTTTCCCTAGGGTTATTCGCGTTTCGTAATGCTTTTAAGCATAATTACTTCGTACCACAACGAGAAAATATTCATTTTTAATTGAATTAGAAAAAAAAATTAGATTACACGTTGTCGCATTCGACTAGTCTCAAAGTTGAATTATTAAATGTACGCGTTTTACGAATGAAAATAAATTTTCCAGTTTTAATACGTTTCACAATAAAAAAAAACGCGCCACGTTTTTTCAACGAGATAGAATTCTGAACTCGTCTCGGTGGATTTGTTTAGTACACGTAACACGTACTAGCCTTCTGTATCTGAGGGATTCGCACGATCAGGCTCGCGTGCGACTTGCAATCAAAGTCAAGGTGAAATCTGGAAATTTCCAAACACCGCCGCTGAATCATACCGGTGTACCAGATCTCCGTTACACAGAGATCGGAGAGATCTTGTTGTGTCTCGAGAACATGACTTTCTATAACTATCGTTATATAGATTTATCGAAAAAGATGGATCTTTTTTCCCTCTATTTATTTATTTTCTTCATAGATTCGATCCTTTTTTTCTATTTTCCAACGAAATATTGTTTCTTGCTTGGAATATGTTCAAATTATATCGCGATTATATCTAAAAGAAAATTTTAAGCGAATTTGAACTTTGCCTTTTATATACGTACATTATACATTGTACATTTGTCCACTATAATGAATTAACACCTTATGTGCAAACAAAAGCGAGTCGCGATCTATCGAGAATCCTTACAATTAATTTAGAATTAACGTCTCGCTTGCTTCTCCGTCGATAAATTGAAAATCATTTTTATAGAGTGTAATTATCGAAGTGAAGGATTCAAAGGTACTTTATAATTTTAATTAACAAGAGGAAAAGTTTTCTTTTGAATTAAAATTCAAGCGTAAAGAATATATTTACAAGTGTATATAATAATGACAGGATCATTTATTATCGAGTAACATGCTTCATAACTATCATTTTAACCAAACAAACAAAAGATATTCACACGTGGCGAGCATGGTGTTTTAATTATTTCTCGGATTATACCGAGATATTGAACAATGTGGAAAATTTTTGCCAATTTATTCGTACGTAAGAGGACACGATGTATCAGCAAATTTCATGGTAATTGCATAATCACTTCTCTCGAAGGACTCGTCTAAACATACGTACATATGTGTATATGTATGAATTAATTACGTATCGAATAAACGGATAATGAATCACGCTTTTTTTTTTTTCACTGGAAATGCATATTCAACCGATTTTACCGATACACACGTTTGGTAAATTTCCAACCTCTTTACTTTATGTGAAAATGTCACGCACCGATACGGTAATAATTTATATTCCTTTAGAATGAATTTAATTATCATACAAGTGATTTAGGAATCGTTTCTCAAAATATTATGATTATATGTTAAATTATTTCACACGTGCAAAATATATTTATGCTTATAAAACCAGGCTTCTAGACTATTGTTGATCTTAAAATTGATATGTTTCGAAATTGTGCGAATGTTCTTTACATTAACGCCACCTTCATCATCAGCTTTGTCTACAATACCGATAAGAATATTTTCTGTCCAGGATATAAAAGAATACAGAGAGTTGCCTCTTGTCAACAATTTAACGATGACTAAAATTTTTAATATTCATCGAAAAGATATTGTATACAATCAAATTTCTAACACAGTAAATAATATAATGTGAAACAAAAGTGATGAAAGCATTGAAAAATTATAACGTGAAAAATTATCATAAAAACGGATTATATAGTGCTTACAATTAAACGTAGATTATCGTTGATATTGAAATTGTGCGAATGTTCTTTACACCTAACCTTAATCCTATCTTCATCGCGAGTTTTGTCTACAATTAGAATATCTCTTATATAATATTTCTTGTCAAAAATCATCATTTAATGATGGCTAAAATTTTAAATATTCATTCGATAATCGAAAATATATTCAAAATAAAAATTCCAAAGCTCATTCTCTTATTTGAAATCTCTGATACTCCCTAATTTCTTCCATATACGTAACAACAACAACTTTTACTCTTTCTTTCAATCGTATCAAGCATTATATCCGTTTTAAATTAAAAATCGTTCAAATTCCTGTAACGCAAGTGATATAATAATAATATGAAGGGATGACGCGAGCATGGAGGAGAGTATAACTTGAGCGAATGACTCAAAAATTACAATAAGGTTACCATGGGAACGGATTAGAATCAGTGCTCACGATTAAATCTATCTTGAACGTCCTCGTCATCCTTTACGCTCGCTGATGCGTGACGCTGCGACCTCTCCGTTTCACCGACTCCTTCCGGAAAAACGGTCGAGACGTTCATAATACCGGTCGATTTGTAAAACTGAAAACAGAACGGCACAAAATCCTCGAATCTCGGATAATTATAATAACATTAATTTTTATTTATTCCGCGATCGATCGTTCAACTTTTCAATCGATTTGATTCAATCAAATCCATCGGTTGGACGGATTCTTATTCGTTCATTCGAGCGAACTATAAATAATTTAATAAACGAACGAATTCAATTTACATACGTTCATGATTATTTCTCTGCGATCTGCGTATACAGATTAACAATAAAATTTACGTGATAAAATTCACGGAGGAACACGTTCGCGGTGTCACCGTCGTCTGATCGTCTTCGATCTTGTTTCCGGATCTTATTAGCGGTTAAATAATTCCACGTTTAAATTTCGATCTATTAGCACGCTATGGTTGATAACACGTTAGCGGTAGTTTCTTATATAGAGAACGATATTTTTTTTCAAAGGACTTGTTGGCGCAGTATTTAAAAATAGTAGTAAGGCAAATACAAGGGAGCGGATAAAATCGATTTCTGCTTATTAAAATTTTTAAATCGATTCTCCACGACTTGCTTTTTTACTGAAGCAAGGATAAATAATTTTTATTATTATTATTATTATTTTTACGCTTTATTTATTCAAAAACCAAATTGTTTTATCAACTCTGAAAATTATCCAACCTCCTCTTTAAAGACACGATTATTACTCTCATCTTTCATTCCTCGAGAATTGCTCCCTTGATATATAACATCCAGCATGATCATCAAAGTATATCCACACTTTCGAGTGGAAACTTAAACGAAACGAACAATCTCTACTCTTCTCTCGAAATCGTTCGATCGATGCATAAAAATAAAAAAAAAAAAAAAAGAAGAAGAAAAACCTCAAACCCTGTTTCAAATAATTTAATAAAAACGAGTCTCAAAAGAAAGAATCTCACTCACAGGATTTTTACCCGGGAAACGCTTGGGCTGTATGTTCAAAAACTCGTGCCAAAGATGCAGATAGGAGGGCCGATTGCTTACTGACCGTTGCATCCCCCTGCCGACTTGCAACACAGGTCCGATTCCCTTAACCCCGGTCGCGTCCTCGACCAACCATAAACCTCCGCCGCTGCGCACTTCGCTCTCGAACACCACACGCGTGGTGCCAAAGATCGCGCCCCGGCGAAATCCGCGATCCGAGAGCGAGATTCTACCTAAGCGCGGAGGATATACCGGCGAGCTGGCGTACCACGGGGTATACCGCCTCGACTAGGTGTTGCCGAGATGTTGGCGGATGGTTGGCGTGACCGATAGCGAAGATCTCGTCGATTACACCACATGCCCTTGAAAACGATGGAAACGCGAACAATTGCGTGACGCAAAGATGGTCAGTGAACAGCGAAACGCGATCGATTCGTTTCGCGATAATTTCGATCTGTCTACATTTACCGATCGAGGCTTTATTCCTATCGTTGCAAACGTACAGACTTTTGTTATTATTCGTTTTCGTTATTCGAAATTCCTCTCGTCTCCTCTTATTATTAAATTACTGTGAATATATAAATGACTGTTTTGTGATTGTTGGAAAAAGAAATAAAAGAAGAAAAATGTGAAAGTGAAACGAAGGAAAACAAGACGGATCGTTATTCGTTATTCGTCCCCGTTTATCGCTCGATTTGTTTTATTGCTCTCCGCTTTATGAGAAACGGAATTTTTTGTTGGAGTAGAGTCCAAGCCAAGATAACACCAACACTCCGCTTTGTTTCTACTCTGCTTATGTAGCGATACAGACACATTCTCGCGACATCATATCCAAGACTAATTATTATATATATATATATATAATAAACACACACACATATATATATATATATATATATATATATATATACACGCTTTTATTAGACTGATTCGAACGGTAAGGACTCGGTGATAAGAGTTTGAAGGTCGACCGGTCTTCGACTATTACCACGACTTCCGGTCATCGCCTGCAGCATCGGAGATCTCGTCGACCGATACACTGGTATTTGCATGCGCGCATCGTTGAAAAGGTGATTTCATTAAGTGAAGGTGATATGCTCGACGGATTTGTTCGAATTTGACTCTATTTCTCTACTCTAGGCGGTTTGTTCGCGGGGGAAAAAAAAGGAAAAAAGAAAGAAACACGTATTTTATTTCGTTCGACGCGAATCAATTCTAGCCACGTGCCCTATATATCGTATCTACCGCTAACTGATATTGCAACGCGATGGTGAGCTCGCGTGCAGATAAAACCGCGACAATTAGCATACGTGAGGTCAGTCGATGGATTATTCGACGAGAAAGAGGCGCGATGGAACGTCACACCTGCAGTGTCTTGGACGCCTCGTTGTGCCGATATGCACCAAATAGAGCCCGTTTCGTATCCGTATTCCACCAATAAAATGTCTGGTAATAATAAATTTATTTATTTATTTATTTTTTTATTTTGAATCTCGAATCGTAAATTATTATTTTAAAAAATTAAGTAGCTTAACACCAAACTATAAAAATTAATACTTATATTTCTACGAGGTGTTTTTTTTTTGTTCCAAAGTAGATTTGTGAAATAAAAAGTTTTCGCCATTTAGAAGAACGAATACAACGATATACAAAGAAATTTGCACCACGCTCGGCTCACGTAGGTTATTTACAATGTAATATGTGAACGATCGCAACTATGCTATGCATCCAGCCTGATATTGACGTACATTCACTTTACATTCACGGTATTATTATTTCCTCTATCGCTACGATACACTACACGATGCACGCGTAGGATAAGGCGGGACGAAATTGCGATGTGAAAAATAATGTGGATGTTTTATGGCTCGTCAAATACTTCTCACGTTATCTCCACTTCGATCGGTGTAAATTATTATTAACGAGATGACATAATACGGTATTACTCTAATAACAACTTTACTTTCAGACAATTACACCAACGAGTGATAAATCATATATATATATATATATATATACACACACACACATGTACGCGCACTTTTGCTCTAATTAAATTCCGTGACGCGTTCTGCAACGTCCGTTTCTTTTCAAGGTGGAATCGCCTTGGCCGAAGATTAATGAACCTGTGCCTACTTTTAAAGCAGGGCTTTGTCAAGGCCGGCACGAAAGGTGTTCCATTCCATTCCGCGAATGGAGCGCGTACACGGCTCTCTAAATCGAGAGCCAAAACGAGATTAGGGTGTGTTTAAGGCGAGGCGGCTGCTTTTCATTACGCCTTCACACTTTTTCGACGCCTGACATACAACAGAATCGAATTTCGCGTGTACACGCGCCTCTTGTCTTCTTCTGAAAATATTGATGGGATAAATTTTATCGATTTTATTTTATTATTTTTTTATCATCTCTCTCTCTCTCTTCTTTTCTTCTTTTGCGTTTTCAGGCAATTTTCGAAATTTTGATCGAATTTTCTTCGATTCGTTCTTCGAGAGGAACACGAGTTGGATCTGTCTGTGAAAGAGAGAAGAAAAGAAAAAAAAGAAAAAAGAAAAAGAACGAGTCTTCCGAAGAGAAGATAATTGAGAAAAATTGCGTTGCTGTTATCAGTCGTTTCTTGGAAAAACAAGACGAAGTTGACATTGTTGAAAGAGCGGTCAATGAAGAATGAAAGTTGAGCTCTTTATGAAGATATTAAAAAATGAAAATTTTTTTTTGGATCAGATTCAATTTCGAATATTATCTTTCTCTTGTTCCAGATCTGAGAAATATCGTCGAGTTTTGAACAACGAGCAATATCGTCTTCGATGACCTTGAACTTTACCGTCGATCTAAAAACAAAAATAAGAAATTGCGTGGCATTTTGGAAAGGAAGAGTTCCTCTTTCCTGAGAAATTACGTGAGAGTCAAAGGAAATGAATTTATTCGAAGAGAGAGAGAGAGAAAAAAATAATTTGTTAATTAGCATGCTGCGTTATAAAAGAGATAATTATAAAAGAGAAAAGTAATTTTGAAATTGGATTAAAATTAAAATATATATATATATGTGTGTGTGTATACATATATTTATTCATAATCTTCTTTTTATAGCAAAAAACCACTCAAGTTTATTAACATATAACACTGCGAGTTAATCTCGTTAAGAAAGCTGATATATGGACGAATTAAATCATTCTCAAGAGAATCCGGCGGAGGCGTGCATGCGTTTACGTTTAGAAATGCAAATTGACCGATTCGATCAATTTGTAACATTAAACGATTCATCCTCTGCACAATTATTTTTATTATCCGATCACGATTAAGCGGGTTATGTTCGCTGTTGCGAAAGGGAAACTCGGTAAAAATACTATGTAAAGACACGTGACAATTAAGTATTCCGAGGATTCTCGATGATCTCTTTGCTTTCTATGACGCTTGCGCAATGGGTACATTCACGCTTGACATTGTTACGTGGTTACAGACACGGACGGCTTGTAACGCAAAAACCGTTAAATTTGTGTCCGATCATTGCGCACGTCTGACTGAATGTTAAGAAAGAATGCTGAACAAATAAGGGGGTAAATGCAACGACTTGTCAATCAGGATCGTAATACGGTAGCACACTGAAAGATCGTTGCATACAAATCGCATTTATTCAAATAGCACGGAAATGTTTCGTTGAACGAGTCGGCGAAATTTGCTAACAATCTACAAACTTCTTAAACACGATTTATTTAATAAAATATTACGAAAAGAGACGAAAATATTTTTATAGAAATAGTAATTCAAATTTTTAATATAATTATATTAAAATATCTTTGAATCTCGAAACTCATAGTTTTAGAAAAAAATTCGTAAAAATTCGAAGGATCGAATCAAAGTTGAGGTTAGATCGAAACAAAATATTACGAAAGGAGTCAAAAACATTTTTATAGAAATAGTTCATCAAAATTTTTAATATAATTACATTAAGATATCATTGAATCGACTTATAGCTTTTATTTTATGAATTTTTATGATCATTCGTAAAAATTCGAAAGATCGAGTTAAAATTGAGGTTAGCTCAAAACAAAATAATACGAAAGGAATCAAAAACATTTTTATAGAAACAGTTCATTAAAATTTTTAATATAATTACATTAAGAAAATCTTTGAATCGACTTATAGTTTTTTATTTCACAAATTTTTATGTTCCTTCGTAAAAATTCGAAAGATCGAGTTAAAGTTGAGGTTAAATCGAAACAAAATATTACGAAAGGAATCAAGAATATTTTTATAGAAACAGTTCATCAAAATTTTTAATATAATTACGAAAATTAAGAAAATCTTTGAATCTCGAAACTCATAGTTCTTTTATTTCACAAATTTTTATGATCCTTCAGAAAAATTCGAAGGATCGAATCGAAGTTGAGGTTAGACCGAAACAAAATATTATGAAAGAAGTCAATTTTTGCAGAAACAGTCCAGAAATCAAAATTTTTAATATAATTACATTAAGAAAATCTTTGAATCGACTTGTAGTTTTTTTATTTCACAAATTTTTATGTTCCTTCGTAAAAATTCGAATCAAAGTTGAAGTTAGGAAACAAAATATTACGAAAGAAATCAATTTTTGCAGAAACAATCCAGAAATCAAAATTTTTAATATAATTACATTAAAACAATTATATTAATACATCATTGAATCGATTTGCAGTTTTTTTCACGAATTTTTATGTCCCTTCGTAAAAATTCGAAAAATCGAATCGAAGTTGAGGTTAGACCGAAACAAAATATTATGAAAGAAGTCAATTTTTGCAGAAACAGTCCAGAAATCAAAATTTTTAATATAATTACATTAAGAAAATCTTTGAATCGACTTATAGTTTTTTATTTTATGAATTTTTATGTTCCTTCGTAAAAATTCGAAGGATCGAATCGAAGTTGAGGTTAGGAAACAAAATATTATGAAAGAAATCAATTTTTGCAAAAACAGTCCAGAAATCAAAATTTTTAACATAATTATATTAAAACAATTATATTAACACATCATTAAATCGATTTGCAGTTTTTTTATTTCAAAAATTTTTATGTTCCTTCGTAAAAACTCGAAGGATCGAATCAAAGTTGAGATCGAAACAAAATATTATGAAAGAACATTTTTATAGAAACAGTTCATCAAAATTTTTAATATAATTATATTAAAACATCATTGAATCGACTTGTAGTTTTTTTATTTCACGAATTTTTATATTCCTTCGTAAAAACTCGAAGGATCGAATCAAAGTTGAGGTTAGGTCGAAAGAATTCGACGAAATAAAATTGTACTTAATTATTAGATGCAGTAATTCGTAGATCGATTTTTTTTAAATATTTTTCATTAAATCATCCGAAAGAAAGAAATAATAAGAGCGCGATTAATTCAAAGGATTTCCCTTCAATGTAACCGCAAGTACGCAACTAGGAACGTTCAGCATCGGCTGTTCTACGCGGAAGTCTCGGTGGCGACTTATGTTTCCGTTTTCTAACTGGAAAATATGAACTCACTCGTTCCGAGTATCGAAGACAATAGATACTGACAAAAGAACGAACATCGATTACCCGATCAAGTATAGAAAGTAAAATTACTTACCTTCTATACCAACAATTTGATTTACGATTCGATGAATTTTAGCACGAGACATTTAAGAAGATATTGTGTAACTAACGTATCGATATTACAAGAAACAAGTATATTCCTCCTCTTCCTTCTAGATTCTTTCATAATATATATATGTATATTAAAAAAACTCGCTTTGAATTTCCTTCATTAATCCGTGAAGGACACCGGTTTTACTCTCGTTTAATTATCGGACCGGTTGGTGAGAACACAATGTTAGTTGCAACGGAGATAAATGGCATCTTTTTCCTTACTATGATAAACTAATGTCATAAATATATTAATCTAAGTATTTTATCATCGAAGAAAAAAGATAATAAAAAAAAAAAAACACATCGAGTTTTTTTATTTATAACGCGTTTACAATATTTAAAAAAATTACTTTGTGAATTTAATATCAGTTTTTAGTAATGTAATAATTAACAATAATTGTTGCAAATGATATAGTAAAAAAACGATATGCGGATAAATATAGTGGAGAGATTATTATCGAGTAAATATATCCGTTTTAATGTTTGTAGAGGAAAGTCATTTATCATAGATCATCTTTTTTTTATTAACAAGTACAATTAAAATTACTGGATAATAAAAATTAATGGATAGACGCTATTAATTTTAAATTATTTAACGAACTAATACTTTAACGAACTAAATATTTAAACACATTTAAATATTTTTAAAATTACATCAAAGTTTCAAAGCTTTCTTTTTTTTTTCAATAATTTTCAAATTATTTAAATTTTACTAAAATATAATTACGAATCGTTATAATCATTCAGGATTAAAATTTGATACTCTCGGTCAAAGTACGACCGAGTACGAAATTTCGAACAATTTCGAAAAATTGAAAAATTGGAACATTGGTACATAATATTAGAACATGAATATAATTTAAATAAAGAAGTAATTAGCATTTTTGCCTCGTATCGTATCGTGGTTGCGTCTCATACGGGCGAAGAATTAAAACAACGATGTTACCTGGAGGAGATCGTCGTTCGTTTTAACCGTGATATCCCTACTCTGGTAACATCTAGCAGAGTACCAGAAGTACAGACGCAGTTAGATACCTACCAGTTGGTTTCTACACACGAGAGCCTCGACAGTTGTCGTTCGGTAACTCTCGCGGAACGCATTCGCTTTGAAGAGTTGCTATCGAAATCCTTGTCACTTCAGGATCCAGTATCGTTGAAAATCTCACAGAAAACTTTCTTCGGGTACAACGCGAATTCACCTGGACACCATCTTCAGGGTGAGTTTCTTCGTTTATTCGTTTAATTGGTTTTAGTTTTACTCGACTTGATTTTGTTCTGTCGAAAATATTTACCCTTTTTTCTTTTCTTTTTTTTTTTTCGTTTATATGACTGATCGATTGTGACGATAGATGAAAATATATATTGATAAAATATATATTGATATATTTTTGTAAAAAAAAAATCACTTCGTTTGTTTACTTATTGTTTATATAATAAATTTTTCTACGCTTAATGTCACGGAAGAATGTTATTTTGACAGAAATGAGGACAGAAATGTTTATTTTACCGGTAATGTGATGAAAATTGTGAAGACTACTTGGAGGCAGCTTGGAAAGAGTTATTGCGGAATAACTGTCAAAAGGCACAATAAATAATATAGATATAGTCATTTTGATAAATGCCGAAGCGATATTTCTATATTTTTATTCAACGTTAAGCACGCACTCGTGCTTAATGAATGTTATTATTAGCTTTATCGAGGTAACAAGTTTTATTAAAAGAAAGATGATAATAAATAAAAAAGAAAAGAAAGAATTCTAGCTTTTTTAAAATAATGCTCATTTGCTCACGGAATAACTGTGAGTAAGTGGTAAATGAGGTCTACGATTCTATTATGCATTATAATTTATCTATATAGATACATACACATACATACGTATGTATGTACGTATATATTCACGTTTGCGTACAATAATTACGAGGCAACTATTTGAGATACATGCAATTAAGATATATAAAAAATATTTAAATTTTAAATAAAATTATTTGTAAATAATACTTGTTATTTTCTGTGAGAAATTAACGATGCATTTCGTTTCGAATTCAAAACGTTATTCAACGCTATTATTGAAACTATATTCAAGATAAAATAAAGTTTCGAGAAGAAAAAAAAAAACTATACTATATTATATATATATATATAATAAAGAACTATATTTGCCATAAATAATAATGATCGGGTAATTTTGGAGGAAAAAAAAGTTTGTTAGATAAATTTCGAAAATAAACTCGCGCAACGAGGTAACGGTGAAACGGCAATATAACTTTTAATAGCACGTTATCGCCGATTAAAGAAAAACAGGGTAAAGAAGAAAGAGATGAGTGGAGATAAGGAGAGATATCGCGCACCTGCGCACTACACCTTATAGGGTAACGATCATCGTGGATCAGACGACGAGACGCAAGATGAATCGAAGATTTATGTACGAGGTAGAGATTTATGCGAAATCGATCGAGGGACTCGATGGAAAAAGTAACAGAATTTCAAAAAAAAAAAAAAAAAAAAATGGCGAATATTGCCTTTTTTGGGCGAAAGAAAAATTAATTTAACTCCTCTGTTTCGCTATAAGTAAAACGGATATCCAGGATGCAAAGCGATATCGTCAAACAACGATGTAATAAAAGTCAGGGAAAGATACACGTAAATTTAACGAGGTTGCACGGATCCAAGGTAAATGATTCTGTTTGCAGTAGCCACAGAATTCCGAGAACCGAGTTGTAGGAAAAGTGCACGGTGATTACGAGGCTTTTAATTGCCTCGTGAAAGTGGATGGAAAAATCTTTAATGAATCGAAATTATGCACAACGTAAGTGGATCGTGGAAAATTGGCGATATCAGCATCGTTACAATTTATTTTACATCAAGTGTGGTGAGAATGTTATATTATTTCAATTTTCTCAGATTTAAAAGACCAACGCGTTTGATCATCATAACCATACAAAATTTCGAATCTCAAGAATAAAATTAAATCGCATCAAAGGAACAATTTTTGGAACTTTTTAAACGATATTTTATAATACGAGTACCAGATGCCTTGCCAGTTTTACGATCGATAATTTATTTGATCGAATTTAATTTTGTCCCTATTGCTTCCAAATTTCCTTAATAATCAAAACTGAAACGAATTCGATCAATTTACGTAAAATTCTCACCTCGAAATGTTCCATTGATGATCAAATGTTCGTACGATCAATGCATTTCTACACACCGAACATCTTAAAGCGAACGCTCGAGATAAAATTTCACGCATTTTCAACTTTTATCGCAGAAACGTATATATATATATGTATACACACACACATATATATTCTATTGAAATCCTCGTATATAATAAACATAAATCATCAATGGTAAAGGTTCGTTAACACATTTCACGAGGGAAAAAAATTTTTCCTTTATCTTGGTTTGAGCGACGAGGCGAAATTAAAATACCGTAACACGTTTCGCACGTTCGAGCGGTGTCATTATCGCGAGAAAGATCAGAGAAGGAAAAAGGTAGCTGGAAACGATTAACAACGGGCACGTGACACGCGTCGCGTTGGAAATTGCGAGAATGGCGTGGTCTCGGTCTTTCTCGGTTTGAACACGGATGATCTCACCCGGATTAAATTCATCATTGAACCAAATGAAATGTCGCGTTCTTTCGTTAACGGTATCGTAAACTCGTCAACGTATATATATAACCAGTATCTTACCTCGTTCTTTCAGAATAATATGGAGAGTATTTTTTCTCGGCTGGAAAAATGAGACACACGATGAGAATTTTATCCTCGAACGAAAATTTGTATCCCCTTGTATCTACGTACATTTTATTACTCGCGTTTGACTCGTTATGATCACGCGAAGACGAGAGAGGGTCGAATGAGATTTTATTAGAAAATGGATCGCAACGAACGCGTCGAAGGTAGGACGAAAATTAATAAAAGGGATTGTGAAAGATGGAGCCGACCTAGATCCAGGCCGGCGGCGCTCAAGTTAAGATATTTGCGTCGAATAGCGCAAGGCGGCGTGGGTGACGATTAGCCGCGTCGAGGAAGGAATATTTTACAAGGAATGATTAAATAATTCGATCGGGATACTCCGTCGAGGATATGACGATCTACATGCGTAATGCAACCTGGACGCGTCTCTCGTTAACCTAACCAGTTTCGTTACTCAAACTGTAATTTCGTTGCAGCGCAAACGACACACATGCGTTACATACGTTGCACGTGGCCGCGTCCTCGATCCAAATCTATGACGCGAATCGACGGAACTGCTAAACGATCGACCGGTTTCATTTTCAAACTGGTTAATGAACGTATCCATCGAATATTATTAATCGTAATCTTAATCAAATTTTAATTGTTCCTCTCAACGAGAGAAGACTAAATGAAAAGAATAGCAAACTTCTTCTTCTTCTTCTTCGACTTCCTCTTGTGATAGTAAACTTGAATTGGATACAAAAATAAAAAAAAGTTAATTAAAACGTGTACAGTAAAATTTTCTGTTCAAAATGTTGCGAGATAATTAATCCACGAATCGAAACTTGTTAACTCACCTTATGCAATTTTATTGTACTTTTTCTTCGTTAACGGGATTATCAAACCGTTCTTTAATGACGTTGAGCAAAAAGTTCGAGTTGTCCTTCAGAATCTTTTCCTTCGCCAAGTATCGTTCAAGGATCGCTGATTGAACAGGGAACTATAAACGCCATGGAATTAAATGCGAAAAAAAAAACTGGACGTTGCTTCTTATAGTTGAAACGATCTACGATTGACTCATATATATATATAATATATTATATATATTATATATATATATCGAATATATATCAAATAGAAGCTTTTATATACATAACCTTCGAAAGGTTATATATTATATATAATATTATTGTATATAANATACATAACCTTCAAAAGTCACGATTAATTGTTTTGCAGATGGCAAATTTGAAACAGGCTCTGGGCGCGAGCGAGCTTACCGATAAAAAGGCCGGCCTTTACCGCGCGCTAGTTGCAGAGTTTCTTGGCACGTTGTTGCTGAATTTCTTCGGCTGTGGATCTGTCATCACGGGGAACGTTGTGGCGATAAGCTTAGCGTTCGGTCTGGCCGTGGCCACAGCGATTCAAGGAGTAGGACACGTTTCTGGTGGTCATGTTAATCCCGCTGTCACGTTTGGTTTAATGGTTATTGGCAAGGTAAGAAATAGGTTATTATTCCTTTTTATACATATTTGATTTATTACGATTATGATTATATTCTTCGTATCTTGTTGCGGAAACAGTGAAACGTGCAATTATTTGATTGGATGTGATATAGGATAAAGTGGTTGCCAATGATATATGATTTATCGATATATTATTCATCCTTCTGCTTCTGGAATACGATTTAGTCATTTATTCGCAAGAAAATCAGCATGACACACGTGCACGGATAATACATATTCATAGAACCGTACGATATAATAATACAAAACACTCGAGAAAATAGTGAAAAATTCTTATATATATTGTGAATAATTTTGAGCAAAGCAACGATTATAAAATTTATAAAAATCTACTTATATTGTTTTGCAGGTGCCAGTTATTAGAGGCTTATTGTATGTAATACTTCAATGCATAGGTGCAATAGCGGGATCTGGTATATTAAGAGCATTATCTCCTGAAAGGATGGAACATGCTCTAGGCGTAGTATCTCTCTCACCAGGCGTTACCCCTGTCCAAGGTTTTGGTATAGAATTTTTCCTTGCCTTCGTGTTGGTACTGGTCGTGTGCGGTGCATGTGACGCGGCAAAGCCGGACAGCAAAGGAATAGCTCCTCTTATAATTGGACTTTCGGTTTCCGTTGGCCATATTATCGGCGTAAGATATAAATTTAATATACTTTTTCTATTTTGCAATTTTATCATATATACTCTTTATGATTAATATAATCTTAAAGATAGTATTGTGAATTACTATTATACACAATATTATTTTTAATACGTTTCGTTTTTACAGAATCTTTTGAAAAAGAACTCACATTTGTGTATTATATTATTTATAGTATTAGTTAAAACGAAGATATGTTGAACGAGTTGTATCATTTTTAATAGGTGCCAAGAACTGGTGCAGGTATGAATCCAGCCAGATCATTTGGTAGCGCTGTTGTAATGGGTTCGTTCACCGATCACTGGTTGTATTGGATCGGACCAATCCTTGGTGGGATGGCAGCTGGATTGATCTACGCGTTTGTAATCGGTCCTGCGAAAGAACCTGAAAATTCCAATACAGCGTATACCGTTGCCGCAACAGACGAGAAGGAGGTATAGTAAATGTAAAGACTCATTTTTTTTTAAATTACTCGGTAATCAAATTGTTTTTTTTCTTCTTTTATATATTATTATTCGTTGATCAAAAAATATACGATATATTGTACTTTATAAAAATTTAAAAAAAATTTTTAATTCATTCTAAAACAACTACGAAAGATAATTATATAATTTCGTTGAATATGCAAGTACATATATAATTGTTTTTTTTTTTTTTTTTTAAATTTTCAATCGTCTCTGCCCTACAGAAGTTCGAGTACATAGACAGTGGACGCGGTGGACTTTAAAAAACATCGACACAAATAAAGAATTCGAAGACGGGAATATGATTTTTTTTTTACATCATATGATAAGTTTCATATGAAATCGAAAATATTCGAAGTATTATTTTTACAGCTACAGAGCCTTACCAGTAAGAAGAAAGACAATCCTGCTTGATGTTCTAACTACTGCTAACCAACGCATTTCCAACTGTTTCGATCATTATCTATGTAATGATTTATATGCCTAAAATAAGTGAGTTTTATGTTATTTAATCATCGCGTTATTAAGCAAGACTATTTAAATATTTTCCAACGAAGAAAGTAATATTGACACATGAAAAGTGTTTCGAGTTTGTCACAAAATAATTATATATCTGATAATATTACATCATTGAATACACAGATATATATATATTCGTTTATATATAAATATAAAGTTCTTTACCTGTTATTTCAAGTCAGTCCTTTATATCAGATTTGAGTAATGATTATTGCAAACCAAAGATCGAGTCTGCCGAACAAAAATTTTATACAGTGTCGACATCTTCCGTCATTTCCAAGATATAACCTATTTATTGTTACAAACTACTCGTAAAATATTCGTGAATTATCGATAAATGATTAAAATGAAAACTCTTGTATTTCAAATAATACAATTAAATGTAATTTTTTATATTGTATTAAAATATTTACCATGTTTTGATATAAAAAATCGTATAAAATCGTAACAAATGCCAATATCAGTTAATCTATATTAATTTACGATGTTTTGTATTTATTCGATATTATTATATTTTAAATTATAATTATACAATTATTATAACGTATAATCAGAATATAACATGCAATATTTAATTTATAAATTCTAATGATAATGTATTTTCAGTATTTAATCAATATTTATACATTTTTATTATCAATAACCATTCAATATCATTCGCTCCTACATTTTATATCTAAAAACTCAAAATTTATATTATTTTTTTTTTTATAGATTGTATATTAAAATATAATTGAAATAATATATGAAATTATATAATAAAATGTAATAGTAAAATGTACACCTAAGTTTATATATGTGCTATAATCTAAAATAGTAACAAATAAAATATAAATGTTTTGTACGAAAGTATTGTGACGTGTTATTTGTATTAAATTTGTATTATTATACGGTAAAGGTATTTTCGAAAAAGAATCAACACTAAATTTTACATTTACACATCATACTTTGTATTTGATACATAGTTTCAAATGTTTATAGAATTTCAGACAAATCTATGTACCATATTCATTCTAGTCTGATAGAATTAGCATACTATGATTAAATAGTAATATTAAGTTTAATTCATCAAAATATCTTTTGTGTTCCCAATAGAGGAATCAATTCTATGTATTACCAATAGTAAGAAAATGTAACATAGCATTGAACAAAAAAATTTTATCAATAAATGAAGCAAAGAAGGTTCGAAATAAAGTATTGCGTCCGGCATATATATATATACAAATTTCTTACGTTTGATATTTGGATGCACAAATACTAGACAATAAGTCAAATATCTAAAATGAGTTCTTAAATTTACAATTTCTTTCACACTTGATTTTTAATATGCCTATAATATATTCTCGCTCGAATGAAGATAACAAATTTTTTTGTTATAGATACAAAACGTTAATGAATTTTATATTAATTTATATATGAAAGGAATATAATTACTAGGCACTAACTTATTGTGCTTTACTACTATAATTAATAATCAATATCGTAAACATAATGCTTCAATCATCACACAGGAAAAAATTAAAGAGAAGGAAGTTTATATGTAAGATAATATATAAACTATTCTAAAATTTGATTATGAATGATAAATTTAACAAAATTCTAGAACGATGAAAATGTTTATATATGTTTGTCTAAATTGTATAGACATTAAGTTTTGAATTTATAAAATTATGATTTAAAATGTAATATTGATCAAATTAGGATTTATAAAATTTTAAGTCAAAGCTTATTTTATTATTTCTAATAGAAAGTTTAACCTTCCATTTGTTGAAGTTTATCCTCAAGACTATCTTGACTATCATTAGTATCGTTTAAATTGATTGTATGATTTTCATGATCAAGTTCTATTACAGAATCACCTAACTCACTCTTTTGTACCTCTAATACATTGTCTGATGGTTCAAAAATATCTGTAGATTCTGAAAGATCTTGTTCATCTATAGTTAAATTTGAATTTTGTTCAGGTTGTTCCATAATTTGTTCTTCGGATTCTATTTTAACATCGGATACTTGGGAATCCGATACATCCATAGAAACTGAATTATCTAGTTTTATATCCATTTCTTGATCTTGGGAATCAGTTTTAGCAGATTCTTCCTTTATCAAATAATCCTCTGAATTCGAAGGTCCAGCTTTTGCTTTATCATCATTACTTTTTTGAGAAGATTCTCCAAGAGAAGAAATTTGAGTGAGATTACTTAGAATTGATTCTTGCATTTTAACAACAGAATCAGATGAATCTAATATGTTACATAATTCTCGACTCATTTCTTCCACTTCCGATGATTCTCCCGTTTTTACAACAATGATTTTCTTATTTCCATAGACTTTAGAACTGGTTATTAATGGTTTACCTTCTTTTCTAATAGTAGCACTTGTTACTGTTGTTGTTGTTATTGGCGTTGTAGCTATTGCTGTTGTTATAGAAATTGCTTTTGATATTATGGAAACATCTTTTGGTATATTTTCTACTTGTACTTCAATTTTATTTTTTTCTTTCTCCTTTTCTATTTCCATATCAGATTTAATATCTTCTATTTTTATTGTTGTTGGAGTTGTTACAGAAATCGTTGGAGTCGTTATAGAAGTTGATATAGGAGTTGTTACAGAAACCATTGTTACATCATTATCATTATATTCTTGTTCTTCGTCATACATACTTTGTTTCTTCTTTACAAATACTCTCTTCAATGGTAATTGTTGCTCATCATCAGATTCATCATGACGTTCTGGTGACATTTCCTCAATAGGTTCATACTCTTGTTGTTTACGAGCTTCTAATTCTTCTATTTTTAAGCGTTGTTGCTCTACTCTTTTTTCCAATTGTTCTAATTTTTCCTTAGTTTCTTGATCTCCTACAGTTATTGTAGGTTTTTGTGCTGTAGATGTAGACGTTTTTGTTACTGAAGGTGATGCATTTATGGACTGAGATGTTTTTAATTCAAATTTCGGAGATTCGTTCAATACCGAATCGTTATTCTTTATCGAAGTAGATTGTCGTGATTCCGTGGACGATTGTAATACAGCTTGAACCAAACTTTGATGTTTATCAAGTGGCTTTTTCACAACAACTCTTTTCACAACATTACCAGTTGGAAGCTTGGCCAATTCTGCTGGATCGATTATTGTACCATCAGGATTCATGATTATCTCTCGGGTGGTATCTCCTTGACGAATAATTCTACGAACGATTACTCTTTTTGTTACTTTATGTCCTGTACTAAGAGTTTGAGAAGTACCATCCTCGTCTTTTATCGTGGATGTACTAGTTTCGGTATTACCGCTAGGTTTCCTTACAACAATTCTCTTTATTACTTTAACAGTATTTACAGCTTTTGGTGTTCCACTGACTAATACGGGAGTTTCAGATTTTTCATCTTTCAAAGAAACTTGATTTTGTGAACTACTTTGTTGCGATCTAGATTGATTTGTAGATATAGATGATTCTTTACTTTGTTCTTGAACATTTTGATGTTTTAGCGGTATTTTATGTTCCTTAAACACAGATGCAACAATTTTTTGTACTTGTGCTTCTGTTTCATCTACGCGGGAAGACTTTGAGGATTCTTCAGTTTGTTTAGATTGTAAAGGTTTCGTATTTGATTGTGATTGATTACCCGAGGGACTTTGTTTTATTTTGGTATCTTGTACTTCTCTACGTTGAATAGGCATCAAAGTTTTAATTGTCTTTTTAATCATATTTCCATCTTTGTTTCTTACATATACAACTTGTTCTTTTTGATTTTCTTCTTTTTCTGTTGTCTCTGGTTCTTCTTCGCTTTCCGATGGTTTATTTGGTTTTGGAAGTTTTTTCACAATATATGCTGGCGGTTCATAATCATCATCTCCATCCGAGTATTGTTCTTCCTCTTCATCCTCGTCGGAATCCAATTCAAGTTTGGTTTTATTATCAGGTTGTAATCCATCTGGTCCCATTTTTTCACCTGCTTCAATATGTTGCTTTATATGTGTAACATAATCTGCTCTGTTTCTACATGATTCTTGACAAACATCGCATGTTAAACCCATACCTGTGCGTTTTGTGTGCGTTAATTGATGTACTTCTAAACTCTCTTTACGTTTGAATGCTTTACCGCAATCTTCACAAACATGACGTTTTTCTACAGAATGAGTTCGCATATGTCTTGTTAAGTGATGGGATAAAAGGAATGAACGTGGGCATAATTTACATAAGTATGGTCGATGTCCAGCATGAGTTGTTAAATGACGAGCTAACTTAGTACTTGTACGGAATGCTTCCTTACAATATTCGCAAACGAAAGTCTTATCTTCGTTATGCAGCACTTCATGACGTTCCAAACCTTGTTTATATGTAAAACGTTTATTGCAAATATTGCATTGGAACGGTTTTTCCTTTTTATGTACAGAATCCTCATGTTTTTCTAATTCTTCTGTTGTAAAGAATTCACGATCGCAATGTTGACAACCATAGCGCAATTCATCTCTATGAACTTTTTCATGACGTTGTAATAAATTTGCTCTTGAGAATTGTTTGTTACAAATTGGACAAGAGAATGGTTTCTCTTCCGAATGAGTAGTCATATGCTTTCCAAGATCATATTTAGAAAAGAACATGCGGTCACATACTGTGCATTTATAATTACGATCACGATGAGCTCTTTGAATGTGTAAAGCAAGAGCTTGTCGCAAAGGAAACGTACGATCGCATTGATCACACGCATGTACTCTTATCTCACCTGGTTCTAATTTTTGTTCCTCTTTAGTACTATTCGTATCCTGATCTCCTTCGCTACCAGCATCTTGTTCTTCTTCATAAAAATCATGTTGATCTTCTTTGTCTCTTTGATTTTCTACTTGTCTATCTCTTTCTCTTTCCCTTTCCCTTTCTCTTTCTCTGTCACGTTCTCTATCTCTCTCACGTTCCCTTTCCCTTTCTCTATCCCTTTCCCTTTCCCTATCCCTTTCCCTATCTCTTTCTCTATCCCTTTCTCTATCTCTTTCCCGTGTTTCTCTTCTTTCTCTATCACCATTATCAACTCGAGGTTTCTTATTTCCT